CTTTGACAGAGATATATTTTTAAAAATTTAAATTATTGGGCCAGGCACAGTGGCTCACACCTGTTATCCCAGCACTTTGGGAAGCCATGGCGGGTGGATCATGAGGTCAGGACTCCGAAACCAGCTTGGCCAACATGGTGAAACCCCATCTCTACTAAAAATACAAAAATTAGCTGGGTGAGGTGGTGGGCACCTGTAATCCCAGCTACTTGGGAGGCTAGGCAGGAGAATTGCTTGAACCCAGGAGGCAGAGATTGCAGTGAGCCAAGATCATGCCACTGCACTCCAGCCTGGGTGACAGAGTGAGACTCCGTCTCAAAAAAAAAAGAAAAAAAAAACAGGGAGAAGGAGTTCTGGTGCTGGTGGTGGTTAAATAGCTGATTTAATGTGCCAGGCACTATTCAAATACTTTATATATATATATATATATATATATATATATATATATATATTTTTTTTTTTTTTTTTTTTTTTTTTTTTTTTGAGATGGAGTTTCGCTCTTGTTACCCAGGCTGGAGTGCAATGGCACGATCTCGGCTCACCGCAACCTCCGCCTCCTGGGTTCAGGCAATTCTCCTGCCTCAGCCTCCTGAGTAGCTGGGATTATAGGCACGCGCCACCATGCCCAGCTAATTTTTTGTATTTTTAGTAGAGACGGGGTTTCACCGTGTTGACCAGGATGGTCTCGATCTCTTGACCTCGTGATCCACCCGCCTCGGCCTCCCAAAGTGCTGGGATTACAGGCTTGAGCCACCGCGCCCGGCACTTTATATATTTTAAGTTATCTAATCATAAAAATAAACTAATTTAAGCTGGGCATGGTGCCCTGTGCCTGTAGTCCTAGCTACTGAAAAGGCCGAGGCAGGAGGATCACTTGAGCTCAGGAGTTTGAGGCTGCAGTGATCATGCCACTGCACTCCAGCCTGGGCAACAGAGTGAGACCCTGTCTCAAAAAATAATAATAAAAATAAAAATAAATAAACGAGAGGTCTGGATCGTGGTATCTGAGAGAGCCAGAGCCAGGGCCTTAGGCAGCATTGGGACTCCGCCTCCCCTCTATCTCTGCTTGTCCCTGCACACAAGCTTCAGTTGCTCCTAGTGCTGGTCAGCTTCACTGGGAAAGGGATATGGCCACCTGCAAATTCCTCAGATGAGGAAGGACTTTCTTCCAGACACAGGTTGACCCACAAGGGAAGAAGTTTTCTGTCCCTAGGGAGAGGAGAAATGAAGAGGGCAGGATGATCCCTCTTCAGAGAGTGCAGAGTGGAGCCAGGGAATGGGGATTTCTTCCCTAGAAGCAAGGGCAGAATTCTCCAGTTCAAAGATTTCAGATTAGCCTAATTCATTCATTGGACAAACAGGTAAGAGAGGACCTATGACAGACAGATGGGCTAGGCACCACAGTAGGGCTGGGAAGTGAGTGAGAAACGAGAGGACATAGTTCTGCCCGGACCTTGCACTGTATTGCAAACACTTCAACAAGGTCATCTGGGTAACCAGAGAGGGAGGTACTACTACGGGACACTGCAGTGATGCCCAGCCTAGTCTAGCAGCATCAAGGAAGGCTTCCAGGAAGTAGTGATATCTAAATTGAGACCCAGTTGATAAATAGGAGTCAACCAGGTTTGGGTTTGTTTGATTTTGCTTGTTTTACGTGGGAGAGCAGGGAATGAAGTGGGCATTCTAGCCAGAGAGAACAGCTCTGAACCAAAAGATTAGAGTATGACAGCTGTAAAGAAAACCAGGACAGGGGGAAGGCAGACTAGGGCGCTAACGCTGAGGACATGGTGGGCCAGCAAGAGCTTGGACTTGATCGTGAGGGCAATAGAGAGCCATAGGAGGGTCTTAGAGCAGTGGCCCCATCTGATCTCCCAATTCTGAGACCCCCTGGGCTCCCTGTAGAGGATGTATTGAGAGGGAGAGGAACACTTCACACACCAGAAGGGAGAATTTTTTGAAGCAGTTGATCTGTCAGGTCTCAATCTCTACAAGTTTAGACCTACAAAGTCATTTGAGAAAAACAGAAAATAACAAGTGTCGACAAGGATGCGTTGAAATTGGAATACTGGTGCATTGCTGGTGAGAGCGGAAAATGGAAAAGCCTCTATGGAAATCATTACAGCAATTCCTTGAAAAATAAAAAGAGAATTACTATATGATCCAGCAATTCCACTTCTGGGTGTATATCAAAAAGAATTGAAAGCAGATACAAATATCTTAAGCAGATATGTGTACACCCATGTTCACAGCAGCATTATTCACAACCGCTAAAATGTGGAAGCAACCCAAGTGCCCATGGATGGATGGATAGATAAGTAAAGGGGGTATATAAATGGAATGTAAGCCAAAAAGACAAATATTGGGCTGGACATAGAGGCTCACACCTGTAATCCCAGCACCCTGGGAGGCTGAAGTGGGAGGATCACTTGAGCCCAGAAGGTCAAGGCAGCAGTGAGCTATGATCCCACCACTGCACTGCAGCCTGGGTGACAGAGTAAGACTACCTAAAAAATAAATAGCCGGGCGCGGTGGCTCAAGCCTGTAATCCCAGCACTTTGGGAGGCCGAGGCGGGTGGATCACGAGGTTGAGAGATCGAGACCATCCTGGTCAATATGGTGAAACCCCGTCTCTACTAAAAATACAAAAAATTAGCTGGGCATGGTGGCACATGCCTGTAATCCCAGCTACTCAGGAGGCTGAGGCAGGAGAATTGCCTGAACCCAGGAGGCGGAGGTTGCGGTGAGCTGAGATCGCGCCATTGCCCTCCAGCCTGGGTAATAAGAGCGAAACTCCGCCTCAAAAAAAATAAATAAATAAAAATAAATAAATAAATAAATAAACAAACACTGTACGATTCCACTTATACGGGGTCTCTAGTCAAAGTAACAGAGACCAGCCAGCCTGGACAACATCGTGAGACCCCCATCTCTACAAAAGATTTAAAAATTAGTGAGGCATGGTGGTGTGCACGCATAGTCCCAGCTACTCAGAAGGCTGAGGCAGGAGGATCGCTTGACCCCAGGAATTCAAAACTGCACCATGATCTGGCAGCTACACTCCAGCTTGAGCAGCAGAGTGCAAGTCTCTGTCTGAAAAAAACAAAAAAAATCACAGCGACAGAAAGAAAAATGGTGGTTTGTAGGGAGGATGGGGAAATAGGAGGTGTTGTTTAATGGGTACAGAGGTTTGATTTTTACAGGATGCAAAGAGTTATGGAGATGGATGTATTAATATATAAATATGATTGTATTTAATACCACAGAACTATAGCTTAAAATGGCTAAGATGGTAAATTTTATGTAATGTGTATTTTGCCACAATAAAAAAATTTTTGAAAGACGGTAATTTGAGAAACCTCGAAGAAATCCCCTGGCCTGGAGTGGTTACAGAGATTGGGCACGGAGAGTCCTCTTGCGAAGCCCAGAACGGATGGTGGGGAGGGATCACCTGAGGAGAGATGCATTTCCGTCTGTCCTGACAAACTTGGGGAGAATTCCAGGAGTCCTTCCATCAAGCCCCAAGGACATCAGCTGGAAATAAAGACACGCCCTTCCCCGCGTCTTCTCCTTGAGTCTTGGACTCCCCAACTGCAGGACCTGCCAAGATCGGTGGAGAAGGCTGGGGGCTGAGTGGACTGAGCTGCCCGACTCAGCTCAGGAGCAGCGGAGGAGTTCTCTGTTTCGTTCTCCTGGTGAGGATTCTGAATGGGTCCTGCTGTGTCGGAGCACGGAGAGCTGGTGACTGAATCTGCAGGGATGTCTGTAGCCAGGTGCAGACTGAGTCTAGGTGGTTTTCCTGGAGAAAAAAAGCGGGTCTCTGGAGGACAGGGGTAAGAGACTGAAGAACAATAAAGAGTCCATGGGGCGCGCTCTCTTCCTGACATCTATCACAAACACACCCTGTGCCCAAGGCCACGTGAGAGGGTCGCACACCGCATATGGAGTTGAGGGAACTGGGGGAGGGAGAGGCGCGCGGGCCCTGAAGGTGCAGGGTCCGTGGGCCTCGGGACAAGTCAGGGTAGAGGGACCTGGCTCCCACAACTCTCCCCCTCCGCAGCCCTTTGGGGGCTGCCCCCAGAGCCTCCAGCACCATCGCTGGGCCTCCTCTGTCCTCCAGTGCTCGCGTCTAAGCTCCCCAGAGGTGCTTTCTCTCTGCCCTCAGCCTCTGCTCCTGCGCTTGTGGCTGTCCCTGGCCCTGTCTCTGAGACTGTCCCTGGGCATGTGTCTGTCTCACGATTCCTGCCTCTGTTTTGTCTCATCCCTCTCCTGTTCTCCGTAGCAATCCTGGTTGCCGTCCGTGTTTCATCCCGACCCCTTCTGTTTCCTTGCCTGCCTCACTCTTTCTCGTCCCCCTCTGTCCCTGTCTCCCCATGTCTCTCTCTTATCCTCATCTCCTGTCTCTGCCTTGTCCCCGCTCCATCCCGTCTCCCTCTGTGTACCTGTATCTCTTGCCTCTGTCTCCATCACTGTTTCTGTCCCTTCCCTCCCGGTCTCTGCCTCCTCTGTCTACCCACGTCCACTCCCTGTACCCATCCCAGGCTCCATCTCTTCCCGGTCTCCATCCCCCTTCCTGGGCCGCCTCCGCAGCCTCCGCCGGGTTGGGACCTCGCTAGGGGCGGGGCAGAGGGGCCGGATCGGAATAACTCGGTTATCAGAGCGAATTGAATTAACTTCACACACAGGCCCTTCCGCGGGGCCGCAGGTGGGGAGGCCCAGGAAAGGGGTCGGGACCCTCAGGCCTCGGACTCTCCGTAGAGACCGAAGGTCTGGTCCGGATTGGGGCAGGATAGGGACACCGGGGATAGGGTCCCGCGCATCCCCGCTCCACATGTATAGAGAGCCCTAAGAGGCCGGCAGGGAGCCTTCGGGGTGGGGGTCGGGGTGGCTGAGGGCGGGTTCTGGGCCGCGCAGGCCCCGCCCCCCAGGATCTCGCCCCGCCCCGCCCCCTCCGCGGGGTCCTGCGCGTTAAAAGGCGCGCGGACCGGGCGGGCTGCACTTGCGTTGCACCCGGGCGGAGTGCGGCCGCGACGGGGCGGGCGGACTCTCGGGCGCTCAGAGCTAGCCTCGGGTCTTCGGAGCCTGGCGCTCGAACCTCCCTTCCGACCTCCACCCGGACCCCGACCCCGACCCGGCCTGGCCCGGCCCCCGCCCCCGCCCCCCGGGCCGATGGACTACTCCTACCTCAATTCGTACGACTCGTGCGTGGCGGCCATGGAGGCGTCGGCCTACGGCGACTTTGGCGCCTGCAGCCAGCCCGGCGGCTTCCAATACAGCCCCCTGCGGCCCACCTTCCCCGCGGCAGGGCCGCCCTGCCCCGCACTCGGCTCTTCCAACTGCGCGCTTGGCGCCCTACGCGACCACCAGCCCGCGCCCTACTCGGCAGGTGAGCGCAGCCCCGGTCCAGCTCTCCCTCCAATTCCTGCAGAATCCCCGGGCCCGCTCGCCAAATAAATGCGACTGTCCCCCTCAGCTGCCCCCATTCCTGCCTTGGCCAGACCCTCCAATGCCCCGAGAGACCCCCAGAATACTAGGTTTCCCTCCGCAAGCATGAGCCTCGCCCTGTCATCGCTCCTGTTTCTTTTTCTCGTTGCCAGATCTCTGCCTCGTACCCTTCAGGTGAAGGAAATAGATCCCCATCCACCTCTGGGCCCCTTGTTAGGCCTTCCCCTCCCCACCTGCAAAGACTGATCACTAAACCTCTACAAGCCCTGGATCTTTGAAAAAGGCTCCCAGCTCAGTCCTATCAACACTTATCACCCCACCCAATCACCCCTGCCCCACAAGATGCATGACCCCCCAGCAAGGACCTCTGCCGGAAGCTGAGCTGCCCAGAGGGGAAGCTTCCTAGAGCCCCGGTGGCCATTAGGCCCCTCCCGCCCTGTCTTGGACCCATCCTGCCTGGACCCGAACCCTTCAGCAGCCACCAAAACCAGATCTAGTAGCCCGCAATAAAGGGGCCCGGGTCATTAAACCACTTGTATTTCCCCATTTCCCTACAGACCCTCCCAGCTAGAGTCCTGCAGAACCCAGAAGCAGCTCCTGCATCCCCAAGATTTTTTATCTAAGTCCCTGTCCAAACCCTCAACCTCACTGAGCTTCTCAGTCATCCCATCCCTCTGATTGGAGTCCCAGCCTGCCCTATGGAATTTTCTTATCTCTTTTCCTCTTGGGAAAACCACCTGGGACCCAAGTAGAAGACTGGGGCCTAAGGGCCGGGTGTGACGCCTGGAATCCCAGCACTTTGGGAGGCCAAGGCGGGTGGATCACTTGAGGTCAGGAGTTTGAGACCAGCCTGACCAACATGATGAAACCCCATCTCTACTAAAAAAAAAAAAAAAAAAAAAAAAAAAATTAGCCGGGCGTGATGTCCCACGCCTGTAATCCCATCTACTTAGGAGGCTGAGGTAGGAGAATTGCTTGAAACCGGGAGGCAGAGGTTGCAACGAGTTGAGACTGTGCCATTGCACTCATTTGAGCGACAGAATGAGACTCCGTCTCAAAAAAAAAAAAAAAAAAAAAAAAAAAAAAAAAAAAAAAAAAAAAAATCCCTAGGGTGGGAACTGCGGGGAGAGATATGAAAAATGAGAACCAGGGTGGGAAGATTGGGTACCCTGAACCATGAGGGTGAGGATTAGGGAGAGGGGAGACAGGCTCCAGAGATACAGGGTTTTGAGACCGGGGAGATGGGGATAAGGTACAGAGAGATGGGAGCAGAGGTGGAAGCACTGGAAATCCTAGGAGAAATGGGGACTCGGGGTTGGGGAGACAGATAAAAATCATGTGATGGGACCAAGAGAGATTAGAATAGAGATTAGGAAGATGGGGATACAAATGGGGTGCTGGAGGCAAGAATCAAGGGAGATGGAGACCTAGAGAGATGGACAAAGATGGAGATTGGAGACCACTGATGAATATGGTGATCTAAACGAGGGTTAGGGACAGGGAAGGGAGATACTGTCAGAGACCCTGTCTGTGGGGCAGTGGAGACTGGGATGGGTATAGGAAGAGTCTTGGGGGCTGAGTGTTGGCTTTGGAGGAGATGTGACATGGAGAAGGTGCCTGGGGAGGAAGAAGAAGGGCAAAGAGAAGATGGAAGAAGTCTTCTAAAAGAGAAGAGTGACCAAGAAGGGGAAAATTGAAGAGAGATTCAAATGGAGGAAGATAAGGAAGAGGAGAGATTAACATCTAAGGGAGAATGGGGGTCAGGGGTGTGGGGCAGGGTTGAAGAAATGAAGCTTGGAAAAGGGAGAGGTGGATAGGTAGAGGGAGCCAAATCTGTATACAGCTGAGAGCCCGTGGGAAGGTTGGTGGTAGGGCTGAAAGGAGGGCGAGTGGGAGGGTCTCCGCTGCAGAGCCTTGGCTCAGAACTGGATAGTGGGGAGACTGGCAATGGTGATGAGACCTGACAGACATCCAGTACCAGGGTTGACAGAGCAGGACCTGAAGTGAGGGAGCAGATGAGCTGAGAGAAAGGAAGGGAGGGCTGGAGCCAGGGGTTCAATGGGGATGCAGGGAGCAGGCGGAGGTGGATGGAACAGGGCATGGGAGGAGGGCGACGACAGCGGTGGGGGTCTTGGCTGGAGTATTGGATTATGGTTTCCTCTTGGGGCTCAAGTCTCCCTGATTTCCATCTGCCTTTATTCCACCAGCTCCATTGAGTGATAGGGAGAACGCCTGGCCCCAGGCTGCCGCGACCTAGAAGAGGGACCAGGCCAGGGACAGGGGAGGTGTGCGATTCCCCCTAGAACTGGACACAAGGGGTTGAACTCTGCTTCTCACTCCCCCATCCTCGTTGCCCTCCCTCCTGCACACACCCGCAGTGCCCTACAAGTTCTTCCCAGAGCCGTCTGGCCTGCACGAGAAGCGCAAGCAGCGGCGCATCCGCACCACGTTCACCAGCGCGCAGCTTAAGGAACTGGAACGCGTCTTCGCGGAAACTCACTACCCCGACATTTACACACGTGAAGAGCTGGCGCTCAAGATCGACCTCACTGAGGCTCGCGTGCAGGTGCGTGTATGCACGTGTGTGTTCGAGATTGTGTGCGCCTGGAAGGAGGTGTGGGAACTTTAATGCCTGACACCTGGGGGTGGGGGAATCCTTCGCGCTGCAGCCCGAAGGCAGGGCGCAGTCCTAGTGTGTTTGGGCAGCCTCGGGAGGCAGCAGGGCCAGGACTTGGAGACCCTTAGGAGACCTGATCTGTTTAGCTCCAGGCTGCCTCCGCTTCGATTCAGGCTACCTCGGCTCTGTCTCCCTCCTAGGGCAGGACATTCCGAATGATGCTTGAGCTAGGAGGGAGGAGTGGGAGCCCCAGGAGACTTCAGGGCGGAGCTGAGGAGGAGTGGGAGCTTGCCAGTCAGCACCCCTGGGGTTCCCTACTCCGACGCTGCAGCTTTGAAAACCTGGAGCCCGGGAGGCTGAGGTTGTGACAGGCGCAGGGCCGAAGAGAGCCGAGCTAGAGCAGGCTGTTGTCTGTTTGTACAACTCCGTGTACAGATGTTCAGTTGGTACGCATTGACTGGACGCTCTGGACAAAAGGTTTTTCTGGTGCCCTAAACTGCTCTCCACCGCCCTGGAACACTCCAGGAGGGAAATCCCAGAGTTTCCTAAAAGAAGGAATTGGGGGAAGAACTTAGGGTGAGAGGGACGAAGGCAGGATCCCCTCCAGGAGTCCAAGAGTGCTGGGAGGCAGCGGAGTCCGCGGGTGAGTGGATCCCAAGGGCAAGAACCCAGGGATCTGAAGGCAGGAGCCAGTGGAGCCAGCGGGCTGTGTATGCACGGAAGGGCCGAAGGCCCCTCCAACAAGTAAGAACCCAGGCCGGGTTCTTTCCGAACCAGGATCTCACTCGAGCCTTGCGGCCGCGGGCTGACCCCATGCGTTCTCCAGGCTGACTGGCCCCTGTGCCCGCAGGTCTGGTTCCAGAACCGCCGGGCCAAGTTCCGCAAACAGGAGCGCGCGGCCAGCGCCAAGGGCACGGCGGGCACGGCGGGCGCCAAAAAGGGCGAGGCGCGCTGCTCCTCCGAGGACGACGACTCTAAGGAGTCCACGTGCAGCCCCACGCCCGACAGCACCGCGTCGCTGCCGCCGCCGCCGCCTGCACCTGGCCTGGCCAGCCCACGCCTGAGCCCCAGCCCGCTGCCTGTTGCCCTGGGCTCCGGACCGGGGCCTGGGCCGGGGCCACAGCCGCTCAAGGGCGCATTGTGGGCCGGCGTGACGGGCGGTGGGGGCGGTGGACCCGGCGCCGGCGCAGCCGAACTACTTAAGGCCTGGCAGCCGGCCGAGTCGGGCCCCGGGCCCTTCTCCGGGGTTCTGTCCTCCTTTCACCGGAAGCCCGGCCCCGCATTGAAGAACAATCTCTTCTAGCCGCCGGCCTCTGGAGGCTCCTAGCCTGCCCCCTGCCCCTCCAGGAACAGACAGCCCCTCCCATCCTGGCCGCCCATCTGGAAGTTGCTACCCGTCCCCACTCTCTACTGTCTCACCCCTGGGTGTGTCCTCCCCAATTCTGGAGACCAAGTCAGGGCCACTCTCGTCCTCACCCACCCTCTAGCTTGGCCTTCTTTGGAGGCGGGATCACATGAGGCCTGTCAGTAACAGTGCCCTCAAAGTGAAGGTCCTCAAGAAGCAGCACAGCCCCCTTCCCTGGCTCTGCAGTGGCTGGGTCCACCCTTACCTTCGTGACCACGAGTCTGCTGACTCGCCCCTCGGGGCCGCCTTCCCTGGCTCTGCAATGGCTGGGTCAATCCTTACCTTGGTGACTAGAAAAGCCCGCTGCCCCACGCCGCAGGCCCACCTGCCCTAACCCCACCCATACAGAGGCTGATGGTCGCTGGGATAATCAGTGGCCAGTATCACTTCATCCTGTATCCCCTCTCTTCCCTAGCCCACCTGGCACAGAGTGGACCCGTTAGAGGACTGGAGGGGCTGCCCAAGGAAAAGGACAGAGGGGTTCTCTTTTTTTCCCGATTTTTTTGGTTGTCCTTTTTCTTTGAAAAACTTGTAATTTATTGAGGTGAGTTTCACTCAATCCAAATAAAACTTAATTTATTGAAGACATCACACTGAAACCCTTTTGAGTGCCCAGGATGGGGACAGGCTGCCTGCAAGACCCTGTCCCAGGCTGAGACCCGAGAGGAACCTCCCTCCCGGCACCGCCCTGCATCCCCAGCGCAGGGCAGCACAGACCAGGAGACAGTGAGAACTAAGCAAACTGGCACTTTATGGCTGAGATCCTGCCCCACCCCAACCAACCCCAATATTAAGGTGCCCTCCCTCCCTCCCCAAACCCACACAAAACAGCTTAAATAAACCCCGGCCCGGTTCTCGGGCTATTCCTTCATTTCCGGATGGACACCTGCCCCCACCCCCAGCGGGAGAGGGAAGTCCTAGTGGAGCTTTTCTCCTGTGGTTCAGGCCCAGTTGAGGGCCACAGAAACACTGGTAAAAGTGGGGGCCCAGACGTACCCAAATGGACCCCTGCGGGCACCCCTGGGGCTGGGAGGTGGGGTCCAGTAAAAGGACAGCACCAGAGTAACCAGCATTCTCGGTAACCATGGCAACTGATCTTCTGCCCTGAGCCTAAAAAGGCCATGGACAGGATGTCCTCATTAGGGCTCCAAATGATTGGGTAGTGGGGAATGCAGATCCCCAATAAATAGGCACCCCAATAATAGGCAGAGAGATACTGCCCTGACCCTCATTAACTTTTCAACCCTGGGGCCATAGGTGGGCCTTGGTAGCAGGGAGGGGCACTGAGTTCGCAGCTTTGTGGTGCCTCCGCTATCACTTGCTGAGCTGCAGGGTGTCCAGAAGGAGGCGCTTGTGAGCTGGGTCCTGCACCCCAGCCTCCTCCAGGTCCTCCTCGGTGATGTCACTGTGGGGTAAAAGAGGCTTGGAAGTGAGATGGGCTAGGGGGTCCTGAGGGCACCAGCTCCGCCCCCGGGGTCAGCCCCTCCCCAACCTGAGAAACTCCAAGTCGTCCCAGCCATTATGCACCAGGCCCTCCTCATAGCGCTCCAAGCCGATGGCACGCAGCCAGGCGCCCATGCCCGCCTCGCCCAGCCCGCTGGCCCGCCCGCCCTGCGGGCACGGAGCCTAAGAAAACAGGGCATGTCAGGAGGAGCTCAGTGCCCCCTATAGAAACACCTGCAGACAGTCACATTCTGCTGCATGCTCTGGGGAAAAGGGAGGGAAGGGCTGGGCTGCTTCATGTGTCTCCCAACTTCCTGGTGCTCAGTTCAGGGTAGAGGGGACATCCTGAGTGCTGAATGGTGCAGTGAAATGGTACCAGTCTGTAGGCAAGCACAGTCCTCAGGCACACCCAGACAGCCACCCTGCTCCACACACCTCCTCTGCCAGGTCCTCCTGGATGCTCTCCCGGATACGGGGTGGAGGGAAGCTGAGGGGCCGGCCATAGTCAGAGGGCAGTCCCCGGGGTGGCTGCAGTTCCAGGGGGCCTGGGAGGAGTGCTGAGCGTGCAGGCCCAGCAGGGGCGTAGTCCACCTCGCTCAGCGTCTTGGCCATCTGCAGCACCGAGCAGGACCGGTCATCCCCACTGGCCACTTCCCCTAGGAAAGTGCTGGCTGGTGAGGGGCCTGGGGGCAGTGGGGGCCTTGGATGGGCCTTGGGAGGCGGTGGGCCACGGGCCTCACCCCCACCACGACCCCGGACCAGTGGCCCTGGTAAAGGATCCAGGCTGGGGGGCAGAAAGATGGCTGAGTCTGGCAGTGGTGGAGGTGGAAAGTCTGGAGGGGGCAGAGTGCCTCCAGACTCCTCATCTGAAGAACTCCCCTCTCCCACACGAGGGGGTCGGTGGCGCCCAAGCTGTGGAGCAGGCACTGTGATTGCCACTTTGTTCTTGGTGGCAGGTGGGACAGGGGCCCTGGCAGGCGAGGGTGGCTCCGGGGGCAGCAGCTGGTGTGGGACCCCTTCAAGGACGTAGTAGGCAGGGTTATTGAAGCTGTTCTTGGGTGGAGGGGCCACCAGCCCTTCTGGTTCAGGAGCTCCCTCTGACTTCAACCTGGGTGTGGAAGCAGGATGACTAAGCCAGGACCCAGCAACCCAGATCTAAGGCAGTGGGAGCAGTGGGAGAACTGGAAGGGAGTCAGAAGGGCCCCTGGTCCTAGACTTTCCCTTGACCTTAAGCACATCACCTGCCTTTAGTTTCTTCATCTCTAAAGTCAGGGGGAAGATAACCCTACAGTCTTATGCCTCACTTGCTAAGATTCTCAGATCTTTCATAACTTTATATGTAACCATGAAACCGGAGCTTAAATGGGTCAGAATAGAGGTGCCAGAAGACAGGGCAAGTAAACCCTCTAATGAGAGGCCAGATTTGGAAAGTCTCTCAAGGCGCCTGTGGTCAATCCACTGCAGAATCTTTCTCAGAGATTTAGGTGGGTCTTACTCAAGCCTGGGGATAAAACCCCCGTGACTGACAATAGCTGAAGATGAGTAAAAAGTACCAAACTGAACCTAGGAGTTTGTAAGTTTAAGCAACAATTGGATATAATTAGAAATCAATCCTCACTTTCCCAAAGTGTGACACAGAGCTAATTCCCCAGGACGGTAACAGTTATTATGCGGAAAATAAGCTTCCTGGCCCATTAAGTTTGAGAAACTATATTAAACAGAGTTGAAAAGAAGTTTCCTTCCTGTCATGTGCAGGGGGAATGACTAAGAAAAGAATCTAGAAAAAAGTATTTCCCAAACCCATTTGACCACAAACCCATTTCAAGTGGGGCCTCTTGCAGGACAGAGTTCCAAAGAAGGTACCCCGGGAAATCCCAGGCCAAGCCGTGTGCCTCCTCCAAACAGAAGGGTCAAGCTAGATCTGTTTACATGGATGGAACTGTCTTAAAAACAATTTCCAATTCCATTTTAAACAGCGGAATTGAGAGGAAAGGCTGACTGTGCTCCTTTTGACTCAGAGCCACACCTAAGGGTAGTCTGGCTGACCAGAGTAGCCACAGGCATAAGGGCACAGCACTTCTAACCACAGGGTGGCAGAGCACCCAAGCAGCTGATGATCCCCAGGCCGCCCCTGAGATCCTGCAGGGGATAGTGATGGATAATTGCAGGGGGAGGGTGACAGGTTCCTCCTCTCACCTGGGGGTCAAGGGCTCCTCTCGGGGAGCTGCTCGGGGTGGGGCTGGTGGCCTCCCAGTTGGTGGCGGTTTATCTGGCTCTTCAAATAACCTGGAGAGCGGGCAGGAGGCCTCTGTGAAAGCTGGCTTGAGCCTCCCTGACCTGCCAGGGATGTACAGGAGAGGGGAGATGAAGTGGAGCTGACCAGATGCCCCTAGGTACCCTTTCACATGACATTCAACACAGCCCTAGCTCACCTGGGCTCCTGGCTGCCTCGGGACACAGAGGGGACTTTGCTCTTTGCTCCTGCCTCATCCTTATCAATGCTGATCCACTCTGAGGGGGCAGGAAGGGAGACTCAGAGGAGACCTGGGCTCCTGGATCCCACAGACACCCACTGGGCCTACTAGCCCTTTCCCAGCTATGCCTTGGAGCAGGACTATTCCCAGCTGTGGCTATAGAACCTCCAGGTATCCCAGAGATTCCAACATGCCCCCCAACCCTGGTCCTGCCCTCCTAGATCTGTTCACACCACCCTATCTCACATCCCAGTGGAGTCCCCACCGTAGAGCCGCTCACGGGTGCCCAGGCGCTCCGTGGGCACCCGCACCTTCATGGAGCCGCGGATATTGCCTGTCTCCTCGCCGCGGTGGGACAGGAAGGTCAGGAACTGTTGAGCCGTGCTGCCAATCATGGACTTGAGTGCAACCACACACTCCCCTGAGAGGCAGATGGGACAGACCAGCAAATTACCAAGCCAATCTAGGGCCCTAGTCTGGCTTCCTCCTGTTCCCGTCAGTACCCCTCACCCCTCACCATAGGATTCATAGCCATCCATGGATTTGACTGTGAGCAGGAGGTGCTGGTCCTGCAGGTACTCGATATCAGCCAGAATTGGTTTGAGCTGGGAAGCAGGGAGGCCCAGTGAGGAACAAAGCCCAGCCACTTCCTCCTGCCCCTCCCGCACACTGTCCCTGACACCACTCATTCCCCACCCTCAGGTCATTTGTGTTCATACTCAGCTCTTCAGGGAAGAGCCAAATCCTTAATGTAGAAGACACAGCCCTCTACGGGCCTTTTACAGCACTTAGCATCACCGTAACTAATTTTCTGTGTCCTCAGTAGCCAACACAGGACCTGACATTTAGCAAAAGCTCAAGAAGCATCTCCTGAATGAATAAATTGCAACAACAAGGTTCCACCTCCCAAAATAAAGCAAAGACCTTTATCCTCACTCATACACACACACACACACACACACACACACACACACACACTCTTTCTCTCTCACTCTGCTGGCCCCACATTCCCTCCCAGGCAGGTTCCCCAATAAATTATTCTGCACCCCTCTCTGTGCCCTCACCCATAAGCAGGGAACCTGCCCACAGCCTCACCGTGGGCAGTTGGCGTGAAGACCACTGCACTTTCAGGAAGTTGATGTTGTCACTGCTCTGGGCATCATTCTCAAAGCTCTTCTTGTATTCTGGGGTGAGAGTAGGAGATACCCAACTATCACCTCCCAGCTTCCCTACCCACTAAGTAGGGGGCTGACTGCTAGGGGCACCCTCTGGCCTCCCATCCCCCTTGGCCTACACCCAGCCCCTGCCCCGCCTCTGACCCTCCAGGCAGGTGGAGTAGAACTCAATGAAGAACTTGGTGCGGCTGGCTGTCTTCACAATGGCCTCGATGCTCTCAAACTCAATGTAGGCCTGGTCTGAAGTCTTTGAGAGCCCTGCAGGGAAAGGGAAGAGGGCAAACAGGAGGGCTGAGAGGGCCTGAGAGGATCATAGGAGGAATGGGACAGAGGCAGGGCCCTGGGATTTGAAATCAGGGGCCCTGGCAGAACAGGAGGCAGGGCCAGGAGGGGCATCCCCAGCCCCAAGTCACCAATGGGGAAACTCCAGAGCCCAGACACTGGACCAGAGCAAACAGACAACCCAAGGATAAAAGACCCATTGAAGAGAGTACTAGGGACCAGAATGCCTGTGGGATTACCCACCAACAACCTGCCACACCTCCAGGCATACTCAGCCCTAGGCAGACACAGACACACAGAAACATGTACACTCACGTATGCACACACATACTCATAGGCATACAACACTTGTGATGGCCCAGGTGCACAGACACCCTGACACATCACACCTTCAGAAACACTCCTGCACTCACTGGTACACATTCACACACACACTTACATAGTCAAATCTATGGTACATCCCAAAGCCACCACTGGTGTCCACCCAGATTATGCCACATCCACAAGCACATCTGGAACAGTCACCTTTCTTGGAGATGAACTGGGAGGTAACCCCAACCTCAAATGTCCCAAACACAGGGGAGTGGTCGCTGGAGACAATGTCATCAGTACAACCTGGGAAGTGGGGATAGGAATGGGGACTCAGGGGGAATAGTCCTGCCCTCTGCTCTCACCTCCCAAAGTTAAGGCAGAGTCCAGAGGGGGACCACCCCATATCCCCCATCACCCTGTCCAGGAAGCTCTGACCGTAAGAATTGCAGATGACATGAGTTTCAGGGTAGGATTTCCACAGAATCCGATCACACCATGAGGGCACATTGGTCCGGACCTAGGGCAGGGGATGGCAGCATGGTTAGCACTGACAGCTAGGGGGCTGCCTGGCATGGACCCCACTTCAGAGTTGATGAGTCCCCACACTTCTGTTACAAGGGGCCCCAGCACCCACCTCCCTTCTTGGATTCTCACAATACCCAGGATCACCCAAAGGTCTCAGAGGGGCCGTGGAGGCTGGACTGGTAGCTGCAGAGGCCCACACCCTTGACCCAAATTCTTGATTCGTCCCAGGCCTGGTGTCCCCCAAGGCCCATACTGTTTTGGCTCACCCCAGTTGGTTTCTGCTTGTGCCAGGCATATGTGTCACGGGAACCCCGCTCATAGCGGTAGGTGGGTGGGAAGGAGATCTCCTCCTCACCTAGGAAAGCAGGGGACAGGTGGGGTTCAGGGCCCTGACACCCAGAGATACCACAAGCCTCCCAGCCCTCAGCTCTCCACCTGTCAGGCCCACACTCACTGAATCGAAGGAAGACCTTGTGCTTCTCCCGCTCCAGGTTGAGCTGGTCCACTCTGAGCAGGGGCTCAAACTCCTTCCTGCTGATGTAGTTCAGGATCTCCTGGGGTAGGGGACACAAAGGCTGGAAACTTTCCTCCTGAGCCAGAGCCAGGGGTGATAGCCCATGTAGTCCTTAGCCTCCCTACAGCCACGGCAGGGCCCTGCTCGCACCTGGATATCCATGTCCAGGCGGTAGTTGAGGTCCCCAAACCAAAAGAGGTGTGTGAAACGCAGAGAGATGTCAAAGGCACTGAGCTGCCGGTCGCCCAGCGAGAGCAGCCTCAGGATGTCCAAGTAGTTCTGGTTCCTCCTAGGGTGAGGGGTGCAGGGTGGGGAGGAGTAGATCCCCAGGGTCAGGGCCAGAAGACAAGGATAGGCATAAAGGGAAGAAGTCTCGGGAGTCAGGGATGGAGTAGGGATCTGGGTCCCTGGGGACAAGGTCAGGGTTAGGAACAGACGGGTCTTGAGTTGGGATAAGAGAGTAGGGGGTCTCTGGAGACAGGCCTACAGGAGGGTCACAGACTCAGATATGGGAGTGGGAACAGGCCTCGGGTGAACAGGAGATGGGTGTAAAGAGACCACAGGAAAGGTGCACCCTCACCGAGCCGTCTTCTCACTTCCTGAGGTGAGGTGACAATTCACAAAGCCAAATGAGGTGCCATTGAACATGAAGGAGACGCCCACAGCCCCCTTGTTCCCTGTTAAGGCAAGCAAAACAGGAAGGCCCAGGTCACCCTCAGAGGGCTCCCAACTCTCCCTTCTGCCTCTCAAAGCCAAAGTGAGAGGATCTTCCCGCTGAGCCCACCGGACGCTTTGACGTGGGCGGGCCCCTGCACACACCCACACTTTCACTGGGGGTCCTCACTGGGCACACATGGTCTGTGTGGATGGCCTGAGTCTGTATGTATACATGAGTAGAGCCCCTGGAGATCTCCGAGGGCCCCAAGGGTGAAGCTGAAAGGCCCTGCAGATTCTCAACAGAATCTATCCTGAGAGAGGACCAGACCAAAAGTCAGGAGACCTGGGCACAATGCCTAGATCCACCACTTACTTGCTGTGTGACCTTGCACAGAGCACCTCAACCACTCTGAGTTTGAGTTTTATCATCTGCGAAAATTGGGTAATTATCCTAGCCTTGCCTTCCCAGAGGGGCTGAGATTGCGAATATGAATGCGCTTTCCAAAGTTTAAAGTACCCTATATATGGGGAAGCGAAGATCACCAAAAACAGGGGATCCTAGGCTGAAGAGGAAGGAGAAGCCATGGACAGAGGGACACTGCCACCCTTGGGCACCCACCAGCCCTGCTTACCCAGGGTGTTGGCAATGCCGGTCTTCACACTGGACGTACTGACATGGCTAATACGGTTCTCATGCTCTGGCTTGACCAGCACCGCCACCTTGATGTTCCACAGTGATTGCATGGCAATCTGGGTGGAGAGTGCATGGTCACCACTGCCCTGCTGCACCCACTGCCTGCATTTCCCCCTGGACGATAAATAGACTTTTGTGTCCGTCATAGGATAGGAAGGCTTGCCACCCTTTTCCTGAGGGACTGGAGAGAAATGGTTCCTCTCGTGGCGTGAAGGACTTGGGTCAGATCTCCCAAAGGATATGCTCCAGGACCAGAGAAAAAGCCAGTGAGGCTGTGCTCCTACTTCATGTGCCCATGAAGTAGGATAGTTTGGAGGTGGTGTGTGAGGACAGGGGGCTAGACAAGATGACCCTCCTCACCGGGCGGTAATCCAGATCTGTAAGCTCCTTGAGGCCCCCGCGTAGTAGGTCCAGCCACTCACGGTCACCCACTGAGTTCTCCTGGGTCCCAAAGACATATATGTCATGGGGTATGGTCACTGTGACCTCATCCAGGGTCTTTCCCAGACCCTTCGATGTGAACCAGGATGTCACGTTTTTCGGAGGTGGTACACTTCCTGGAGATGAAGGGGGTGAGGTGGGTCTGGAGGAGTTAGGCCCCTGCTCTGGGGCCATCCCTCTCTCCCGCCCCAGCCCCAGCCCAAGCTTGTGCCTGACCCATGTTCCAGGTGCCTATGAAGACAGAGATCATGTCCGGCTCATCCTGCTTGGAGTGCTTGTTCTTCATGAGCTGCAGCAGCTGGCAGAAGGCCTCCCGCTTCTGGGAGAACAGCAGCCACTCAGGAGCAGGTAGGCATCCCCGAAGCCCCCCTTCCACAGGGATACCCTGCTAGACAGCTCATGTCCATGAGGAGAGGTCTGTCTGGTTCTCCAATGTATACCCACTGCTCAAGCATGTAACAGTGCTGTAAATGTTATCCACCCTCAGGCCACCCGTTCTCAACACTCCCACCTGTCAGACCCACCCCTGCCAGGAGGGATGGCATGCCTACATCATGTGTTCCTTCTGTTCCCATCCAATGGGAAGCACCCATGTGAGGACCCCGGCTGTCCCCAGTGGCCTGGCCCAGCCTGCTGCTCACCCGGGCACTGACAAAGATGAAGTCCTTGCGCTGAGTCCGGTCCTTCTCCTTTTCAAACACAACACCCAGCTTGTTCTGGACACGCTGGGACTTAATGAGCTGGCGGACTAGGGCATGGAGGATGGGTCACATGGGCCTATGCCCCTAGGCCGGGGGCTCCCCCCTGCCCACCCCTCCCAGGTCTGGCCCTGGCTCACTGCGGTCATGCGTGAAGGTGGTCCAGTCCTCCTGGGAGTCCCGCTGTCTCCGCAGCAGCACCAGCCGCCCACCCTCCACATCCACGCTCAGCGTGAACTTCTGCGACTTCCCAATCTTGGTCAGGTCACCCAGGGTCACATCTAGCTTTACCTGTAGGCCAGGTGGTAGGCTGCTAACAAGACCTTGGGGCAGGCAGCACCCCAGTTCCCTCCAACCCCCCTTTGCCCCATGAGGCCCCACTGCCATGTACCTCAAAGGCTTGCACAGGGATGGTCTTGGCCTTACGTGTGGATGGCTGCGGAGCTGGGGGTGCTGTGGAGCTCATGTCCTGCAGGGCCTTCAGGGCCTGGAGGGAACAAGGGAAGGGTGAAGTCAGGGGACACACTGAAGCCTGGGGCACAGAGGGACACAATTGATGCTGGGGCCAATGTGAAGTTGTAGACTCAAGGCTGAGATCAGTGCTAAGCTAATGACAGTGGCCAGTGAATCGGCGGGCAAGGGTCAGAGGTCATGCCACCTTCTTCTGGATGCCTGAGAGGAAGTCCTTTAGCACTGACAGCTTCATCACCAGGCTCTCTAGTTCCTGCTCCCCTGTCTGTGGCAGGTTCTGGGGGGAGAGAAAGAACCAGGCTTGTATAACAGTCACCTAAGCAGAGCCTCCCAGCCAACTCCAGAACACGAACCCACCTCCCGGAGGTCTCCCTGCAATCCCACCTGCTGCTGCAAAAGGCGGGTCACCATGGGCGAGCTCTGCTGGTCAAACACCTTGGACAGGATCTCCAAGCCTGACAGGACCTTGTCCACCTCACTAGGGGAGACATCAGGTCAGAAGAATTCCCACCCAGACCTAAGTACAGGAAAGGGGGAGCTGGGTGTAGCCTCCACCTCACCACAAGGATAAAGGGTACCAGGTGAGGAAAGTCAGCAAGCAGTGGCTAGTTGACTGCTCAGAGTCAGAGGTCAGGGCACCTGTACAGCCAGGGAGCAGGCAAGCACAGGTCAGAAGTAAGGGTAATGCATGGGGCTGGATGTCCCAGCTACCTGTGCAGCCTCCGACACGAGGTGGCGAGGGTACGGGTGAGGTGGGGCAGGTGGCTGGCTCCACCCCGCACAGCCTCCAGGTCCAGCCCGTAGCTGCCTTTCAGGTACTCGTGTGAGACGGTGCTTAGCCCATTGGGAGCACTTCGGGAAGGGGTAAAGAAGTCAGTGGAGGTCCTGCTGTCCTGTCCTAGCACCCCTGCCCCATCCCTAAAAGAGACAGTATTTGTGGCAACCAGGACGGGATGAATCAGGGTATCTGCCTCTGGGCTGAGGTAGGGTGGGGGTCCCTGGTGAGGGCTTAGAAGGCCTCTCCACCTTTAGTAGGAAAACAGCTCTCAGAGGAGAAAGGGTCTCCTGCTCAGTGGATGGGGTAGGGGTCTCACCTCTCAGCAGCTGGAGTTGTGGGAGTCTCAGGGGTTGACAGGGGACTGCTGGGCCCAGTGTGGGCAGAAATGCTGGTAGAGCCAGAGCGCGGAGGCAGCGGGGGCTTGTCATCCTCCCCATCTGTGGGCAGGGGTCAGTGGGCAGCTGTCTGGGCCTCCCACACACGGTGGAGTAGGAGGCATAATGCAGCTGCAAAGTGACTTCCATGGAAAGAGGGATAAAGGGCGCTGGCATCATGGCCAAGGGCAAGGGGGCTACAGGAGAGGTAGGGTTGTGAATCGGGGATGGGAAGAGGCAGGGAGAGCCAAGGGACAGGGGCAGGGAGGGGACCCACACACTAGTACCTGAGGCATCCCGGTCATCTGGAGGGTCCGGCTCCCGCTCCCCCTCTACAGGAAGCAGCAGGGCACATACAAGGCCCTGGTTAGGCTGGGCATACAGGCCGATGAGCTCGCCCAGGGTCTGGAAGCGGCGCACAGGCACACCTTGCGAGGTCTGTGGGCCAGCAAGGGTGGAAGGAAGGGTCAGCCAGCTGGTCCCCAAGACCTAAGCTGGATCAAGGTCAGGGTTCAGGGGCCCAAGGTCCTACCTGCACAGCCAAGAAATCTTCTCCATCAGGCAGAATTCGATACGTGTGCACATGCTTCTGATACCTACACCAAGGCAGGGCCAGAATCTGTCACCCCCAGGCTGGGGTCTAAGACCCAAAGCACCCCTTCTTCCTGCCAGCAAGCTCAGCATCCCAACGCCCTCAGCTTGGTTTCCCTAAAACCACCTGCCCAGACTGCACAGGGTTAATGATGGGCTGGTCCACTTCCACCCTCCTAGTGTTGCCAATAAGGGCAGGAATGACCAGAACACCCCCCTCTCCCCACCAGACCTAGACTCCACACCCACCACAGGGCAGGGCCCGGGAAGCAACAGGCAGCTCTTTTGTGGCCTCCACAGCTGTCTAAACAGCCCCTCTGGGCTGTGGTACCAGTCTGGGCCCCCCGCCAGAGTAAGAGTCTTCAGAAGCCTGGTTAGCCTCTGTTTGCACACCCAGGCAACATGCTAATATGCATGTGCCTCCTGTGTTTATGCTGCTGTCTGGCTCTGCCGGAGTCAGGTATGTCTAGGGCAGTTTTGCCGAGGAGTGTGGGGGCATCACCCTAGGCTTTCCCACCAAAGAGGGCCCCCATGGGAGACCTGGGCCTCTAGCAGCCCCAAGCCAAGGAGGGGCAAGAGGGGTGCTGACAGATGGCAGCCGAAGCTGAACAGGTGACAGCTGAGCCAGGTGCATACTCAGTGGGGGATGGAAGATCCTCTGCCTCCACACCTCAGGGTGTTTCCCTCAGGAGTTACCCAGGAGGAGTCACCCGAGGTGTTGGGCAGGAGGGAGGTGAGGACCCCCCCACACCATGGCCCCCTCAGGGGCTCTCCTGGCTGCTTATGCTGGGTGTCTGCCTGTGACCGGGTGTTCCTTGGTAGACTATTATAAACACTGTCTGTGTTTATTGCCATAGCATACCATTGACTGAATCCTATCTGTGACAGGCTGGGTACCCAGTGTCCTATAGATCTTATTTAATTCTCACATTTTTAAGCAGCTATTATTATCCCCATTCTCCAGCTGAGGAAACAGGCTCAAAGAGGAAAAGTGATTTGCCTAAGGTCACAGAGTAAGTGAAAGGTGGAGTTGGGATTTTAAACCATGGCAGAAGCCAGGGCGGTATCTTGGCCTGCTGGTCAGATTGCCTGTGCCTGCTGGGGCCGGGGCGTGTCTTGTATGTTATCCATGAGCACCAGCAATGTATATAGGTAAGCAAGTGTGTGTGTATTAAGCAAATCTAAGATACTGACCTCATCTGATTGCCAACATCTGATCCTTACCCCCATGCTCTTGAGATTCAGGGAGGAGCCAGTCAGCTGACAAACCTGAAGCCCCCACTCACAGTGAGACCCCCTTACCCCATTCATAGCCTCCCCTGGCAATGGGGCCAGGATTCTCCCCCTACTGGGACAATAATGTTCCTTACCCAGACACAGGCCCCAGCTGTCCCCCTCCCACTCAACAGCTGACCCAGCACCTGCCTCCCTCCCCAGCCTAATTAGGGGGTATGCCTCAGAGGGGGCTGGGAGGCAGGACTCGGAGATATTCATCTGCCTGGTCTGTCCCTCCTTAGTCTCCCCCTACTGGGCCTCAGACTTGAGGCATAAACTGAGACTTATAGGGCCCCTTCCTTGCTGAGTCAATTGCCTAGGCGAGAGTTTTTCAATCTCCATACCACTGACATTTTGGATTGCAGTTCTTTGTTGTGGGGGACTGTCTTGTACACTGTAGAATGTTTAGCAGTATCCCTGGCTTCTACCCACTAGATGTCAATAGCGTCATCCCAGTTGTGACAATTAAACATGACCCCTGGCTGGGCGAGGTGGTTCACACCTGTAATCCTAGCACTTTGGGAGGCCAAGGTGGGTGGATCACTTGAGGTCAGGAGTTCAAGACCAGCCTGGGCAATATGGTGAAACACCATCTCTACTAAAAATACAAAAATTAGCCGGGCTTGATAGTGAGCGCCTATAATCCCAACTACTCTGGAGGCTGAGGCAAAAGAACCGTTTGAACCCAGAAGTTGTAGTGAGCCATGATCATGATACTGCACTCCAGCCTGGGCAACAGAGTGAGACTCTGTCTCAAAAAAAAAAAAAAAAAAAGTCTCCCCTGGTCTAGGCTAATGTGCCCCCTAACCAAAGATGTCAGGAGAACAAAGGGGTAAGGAACCGACATCGGCAGGAGTTTAGGAGGGATTTCACAGGGCCAAGAAAGATCTAAATAAAGCACCCCCACCCCCAAGATTCCCACTCACTACTCCCACTGAGAGGCCCATAGAAGCCAACTCAGTGTCAGACTCCAAGGCAGGAGGTACAGGGCAGGGAGAAGACTGCAAAACCCTAAGTGCTAACTCACCCCAGCACCACTACCACACTTGGCTGACAGGCACAGCCGCAGGACCCGGCCCACTCGGACGAGTGCCAAGTCTAGCTCTGCTCTCAGCACTCGTAGCTCAGGGGGCTAGGACAGCCAGGTAACCAGGGCTCAAGCTCAGAGCCAGAGCTCAAACACTCACTCATTGGTTCATAAATAATAGCAAGGTCCCATACAGCCTCAGCCCCTGCTTCCCCAAGCCTTCCTCTCTACACCACCCACCACCACCCCTACCAGCCATACACAGCCAGGAAGAACCCCAGAGCACAGAAAGGAGCCCTAAGGAAGCTGCCGGGCATCCTCACACACCCCGTCAGTCCCTCTACCCCGACTCCCTTTCCTGCTCACGACTCAGTCCCTATCCAAACGGGACTACACACAACGTGGAAGGCACATTCTCTCCCCTGCTCCCTGGAGGATGCCTGAAGGGGGTCTGCCGGGGAATGCCCGAATTTTTCGTCCATCACAGCCACACTGGGCCGCAGAACCCCACATCCTCTGCCCTTACGGCTCCTGAAAGTGCCCCAAGGCACACAGCAGGAAGTGCCCCTGCATCCTTCCTCAGACCCAGGAGAAAGCCAAGGCCCCTACTCTGGCGGTTGGAGGCGGGTCTGGCATCCCACCACCCCAGGCACCCTGACCCGGGCCCTCCCCGCACTCCTGGTCTCCACCAGCCCGCAAGGAGCCCCCGCCCCACTCACAGGACGCAGAGCGCGAAGGCCCCCGCCACGCTCTCGCTGTCTCGGACCAGGAAGCTGCCATCTCGGCCTGCCCGGGCCAGCAGCTCCTCCGCGGCCGCGCGGCTCAGGTCCCGGTGGTACCAGGCGGGGGCCTGGCTGCCCAGCGCGCCCCCCGGGCCCGGCGCCCCGCAGGCCGAGGCCATGGCCCGCGCAGGGCTCAGCGCTGCCCCGGCCCGCCGCCCCGCGCCATCCGCCCCAGGACGCTAGGGGCTGAGGCTGGGGCTGGGGCCGGGCCTGGGACGCGGGGCCCGGGCTTTAGGATCCGTGGGCCCGACAGAGCCGAGGGTCGCGTCTCCGCGCTCCGCAGCGCAGGCCGCCTCGTTCGCCGCGCAGCCGCTGCTGCTTGCAGCGCCAGCCTCAACTTGAAGAGAAAGAAAAGTTTGTTCAGAGGCGGCGGGGGAGGGGCGGGAGCGGAGCGCAGGGCCGGCGGCCGCCCCCTCCCCCTCCGCTCGGCCCGCAGCCCTGGCTGCCCCTGCCCCCAGTCTCCTCCAGCGGGGACAGTGCCCCCACCTTCCCGCTGGGCCTGGGATCTCCCAGACCCCACAATGATCCTGACTCCATCATTCACCCGAAGAGATCCAGTCCCCAAAGCCCCATCGAAATCCAAATCCTCCCATCCTGGTCCCGACACTTCGGGATCCAGGCACTCCCCGGAAAATTCAGCGCTCTTCAGTTCTCCCAATGATATGACCCCTATGTCCCATAAAGGTCTGATTCCACTCCACGGCTTTTCCTCTCGGCCCCGGTACAGCTTGGCTGCATCAAGTTCCCCAAACCTGCGAAGGATCCAGGACGACCCCCCAATCCTCTTCCCTCCACCTATGTGGGTAGGGCCCCCCAACTCCCAAGAAATGCAGCCCCCTAACTCCGCGGGGTGAGGACTCCGGCAAATCCCACGAGGAGATCCCCTCCATGGAGATCTGCTCCGCCAGATAAGGTGCGACGTCCTCGAGCCCCTCACGCAGCCCCTCCCAGCCCGGCAGAGCCCTTCCCCCTCTCGGCCAAGTTCCCCAGCACCACCCCCCACACCCGCAGGCCGGGCCTTGGCGGGGTTCAGCAGTCAAGAGGTCAGGAGGCTCCCCTGGCCCGTCTAGGAAAAAGTTCCCTCCCGGGATCCCGGCCGCCGCACGCAGACCCCCACCTCCCAGGCTGCTCCGGCGCCCCTTTCCCCGGACAGCGTCCCTGAGCTCCCGGCGGCCACTTAAGATGGCCATCCGCGCGCGCCCCCGCCCTCCGCGCCGCCCGCCCCGCCCCGCGCCGCCCCGGGGACCCGGGGAAAGCACCGCGCTCCGCCTCACCCCGCCCCGCGCCTCGGTCCCGGAGCCGCTGGCCCGCCGTGTGACCTCGGGCAATTCGCGGCGCGGGGCTGAGCCTCGGCTTCCCGCTCTGGAAAATGGGGATCCTGTGGCCAGGGCCGCCTCTGGGGGCCGGGCTCGTACCGTGCTCGGCACCCGGCCTGGCGCCCCGCTCGCGCTCCCGAAAGGCGGCTATTTTTATTATTAATTAAGGAGGAACGAAGGTGACAGCTGTGTAAACTGTAAAGCGCGGCTGCGGGACAAACGGGTATTATTAGCACTCGCCCCCGCCCCAGCAGCTCCCTCCGAGTCAGCAAACTCGCGCCTCTGCGGGCCGGACGCCCAGCGGGGGAGCTCCCTGACTGGGTCTGCTCCGAGGCCCTCCGACACCCTCCCCTCCCGCCAGGGGCGGAAGGGGGACGCGGCCGCCGGAAAGGGGGTGGAGTCCAAAAAAAGGGTCTGGCCCGCCCCCTCTCAAAAAAAGACCTAGCCGGTGGCGGCGTCTCCGGGGAGCCGTCTTCCTGCCCCGCCCCTCCGTCCCCTGGCTCCTTAAAGGCGCAGGCCTCCAGCCCGGCGCCCGCCGCCGCCAACTCCCGGGCGGCCTTGGGAGGTTCCCTTTAACCTGGCAGATAACTTTCAGTTTGCTCTGCTGAACCTGTTGACGGAGTTCGGGTCAGTCCCGCGAGCTCCTTCCTGTTTCAAATATGCATTGATTTAACCCAGCTGGAACAGAGCCTGGGACATGGAAGGGGCTCTGTGGGGCCTTCCACACTAAATAAATATAATAATTTAAGAGATCTACCCAGCCACCCAGCGGTGCCTCCAGAACCCAATAACTCGGCCTGCAATCTGTGCCATCTTCCTCATGAGTCATCTTTTAGTATAAGAAAGAAAAGATGAGCCTGGTGTGAGGGGAATCCTTGGTAGTGGGGGAGAGACCTGGACTAGGAGTGCACACATGGGTCCTCGTCCTAGCTGGGCCACCCACTGGCAGGGTGTTCTCAGACACTTACCTATGCCTCTCTGGGGACAGTTGTAGGAGTGTGGAAACAAACACTTAGCCAAAGGGAAAGGGGTGTTGGGAGATCCAGAGATATAGCTCAGGCCCAGCTCCCGAAGGCTGTGCAAAGATAAAGCAACCCCCAAGACAGGGCAACCCCCAAGATAGGCATATCCACCAATCCTAGGAGTAGACAAAGGCACCAGAGGCTCCTCAGCCCGGAAGCCCCTAAGGGTTTCTAACTCTTCCTGCCACACCTCCAGGACACAGAAGCGCTGAATCAGTTCCAGGCTCTTGAGTATTCCACTCCAGGAACCCCCTAAACTACCCTCTCCAATTGGCTCTGTTCTTCCTCAGAGTCCCAATCCCCAACGCTGCTCCTTCAATGTGCATCACATTAGGCAGTGTGAATTTTTTTTTTCAAACCGCTGGCAATCCAGAGACTTTCCTGGACTCCCTGTCCCAGCTTTCCAATTACAGAGCCGAGTACAGAGCCAGGCAGACGAACACTGAGGTACTGGGAGGCTGTTTGGAGACCAAGATAAATCAGCTGAGGACCTGGCTCTCACTTGGGGCAACAGAAGCCACAGGATCCCCGAAGACAATTAATGTGCAGACACTGGGCTCATGGGCTTTCTAGGCAACAGCTCCTCTATTATTTCACAAGCCTGAGGGCAAGACTATTATCCTTTTTTATATCCAGGAGGAAACAAAGGTTTAGAGCAGTGAAGCAACTGACTCACTTTCACAAAGCAAGTAGCAGAGCTGGGGTTAAAATACAGGTTTAGTTGCTCTAATCTGAAGGAATCCAGAAGCTGTAGAATCTGTCTCCCACCCACCCACAAACTCACAGCCAAAATAATTCCTCAGACGTGGATATGTCAGTCTAAAGCCCCAAACCCCACCATGGAGCAGGAACTGACCAGGTAACAGAGTTTTGGGTGACTAATGGAAGCATGCTTAGGATGCTGTCATTTGTGGGAGCTGGTGCCCAGCCTGGTTATCCAAGCTGAGGGCAGGTAGTCTGGGAGGACTGGACTCAGCCAAGGAGCCAGAGTTGCAGCATCAGGGCCAGGCTGAGCAGGAGACCCCCAATTCCATGAAGCAGGGCGCCAGCGTTCACATTCATGGCTGTAGCGTAGAACCTCGCCACCTCCTCATTGGGGTTGCCTTGGGTGGAGTCAAACCACATCTGAATGCAGCGGCCGCTCCCTCGGCTGTAGTTGCTGACCTTGTACGAGTGACTCCAGAGGCCCTCACAAAGAGCAGCTGGAGTGGGGAAGTAGAACTCAAAGGAGCGGCACAGGGCCCCAGCTGGGCACTTGTTAACTCCTGCAGGGAGATGGTAGACACAAACATTCAACCCCTGGGCCCCGAAGCTCATTTCTGGCCACCTCCAGAAATCGCCCCACCCCTAATCCTTGAGGATTCTCCAAACCCCACCTCAGTCTGCTTTTTCCTAACCCCACCTCAATCGCCCTCACCTGAGGTCCAGTCCCATCCTCTGTGCCAATTACTCTTGCAGGTGTGGGAGGTGTGACAATCCTCCCACCAGCGCTGACAGTCCTCTTTGCATAAGGGCACATCCAGGAAGCGTTCTTTGCGCCAGCTCTGATTCACCTGGGTGGGAGGTGGGGAGGCAGGGCTCCTCTCAGCCAGGGATGTTGGTAGCCGTAGCCTTGAAGTGATTGAGGGGGATGGCAGTCTGCTGGGGTGCGGGGAGGAAACATCCTACCTGCCGGATCCAGGGCCCCAGGTTGGGTGAGCACTCATAGAGACAGGTGTCCTGGATGAAGTGGCGCTTGCAGGCGGGCTCCATCCTGCCACAATGATCCCAGTTAAAGTTGTACAGGCGGGAGGTGTCCTTGTGTAGCTCCCGGCTGGTGTTGGCCGTGCAGCAGGCATTCTTCCTCCAGGGACTGCACTGGGTGGAGAAGACACAGGACTAAGTGCCTCCCCACACCCTCCTTCTACCACCTCCTGTCTCTGCCCCATTTGGTTCTTACTCCTCTGCCCTAGTTAGGTTGTCCTGGGAATACTCATTGTGATGGTCCCTCTATCCTAGGCCTCCAGGAACCCCATTCTTGGAGGAAACACAATTACAACTGTGTGATCGGGGGCTGTGGGAGCCCAGGGGAAACCTTGTCATGGGAGTAATAGCTATCATTTATGCGGCACGAAACACTTCATAAAAAGTCCTTTCACATACTCATTTAAAAATAATTATTGGCCAGGCATGGTGGCTCACGCTTGTAATCCAAGCACTTTGGAGGCCAAGGTGGGCGGATCACCTGAGGTTGGGAGTTCAAGACCAGTCTGATCAACATGGTGAAACTCCGACTTTAAAAAAATAATAATTAGTAGTATTATTTTTATTATTGAGCACCTACTTTATGCCAGTCACAGTTATAGATGCTACGAATACAGAAGAGAACTAAACAGACAGAAATATGTGTTCATGGAACTTTCATTCTGGTCAGAGGAGACAGTAAGAAACTAAAATATATATATATATGATATGTCAGGATATGATAAATGATATGAGAAAAGGTAGAGCAGTAATGTAAAATATGGAATTATTGCTGACATTATAAATGGGTTAGAAAACGTTTCATTGTAGGTGACATTTTGAGCAAAGGAAGAGCAGGAGTGAGCCATACAGTAATAGAGTTTGAATACATTCATTCTTCTTGGCAGGTAGTAAGATCTGTGTCCCAGTGGCTAAGCCAGTGCCAGACACATAGTAGGCCCATGTAAATATTTGCTGGAAAAAGTAAGCAAAAGCCAAGCCATGCATGGTGGCTCAAGGTGGTAATCCCAGCACTTTGGGAGGCCAAGTCAGGTGGATCACCTGAGGTCAGGAGTTCGAGACTAGCCTGACAAACATGGTGAAACCTCGTCTCTAGTAAAAATACAAAAAAATTAGCCAGGCATGGTCATGGGTGCTTATAATCCCAGCTACTTGGGAGCCTGAGGCAGGAGAATCACTTGAAGCCAGGAGGCAGAGGTTGCAGTGAGCCAAGATTGTACCATTGCACTCCAGCCTGGGCAACAGAGTGAGACTCCTCAAAAAAACAGAAAAAGTAAGCAAAGGCCCTACTTTTTAAATCTCTGTCTAACATATAGTCACATCATATTTCCACAAGATTTTAGTCTAGACTGGGTTTTCCAGGACTCCAAATACCATGAAATAGAAGGCTGTACTATGTGTTTTGTTCTACTAGAGTTATTCACTATTTTAGAAAATTATGCCATCAACAGCAACATTGCTTATATTATGGTGTCTTACAGTGTTCAAGTCACCAATATAATATACCTGTATCAATCTTCATTTGTAGCTCCCCATTCATATGATTTTATGACAAAAGCAAGCATGTGCTATTTCCTAATGCCTTCTAATGTAGTCATACCAGAGAACTGAATGTTGAAATATATATTATTTTATTACAAGTTACTTTCTGTTTCTCCTTTATATTACAGAGCATTATGTTGATATTTACAAAATTATGCATACAAATAGGTTCTTTTGAATTTGATTGCAGGATAGAAAAGAGAATCTAAAAATTATCTGTCATAAAAGGGAGATATTGAGTCTAATAAGGTTGCAATCCACTGGCATACATGTATGTAGACTGTGTAAATATACAGCCCCTCTACCTCAAATTACAGATGGAAGGGGCCTCCTCCTCTTCTCCCTTGGCACTCCATGGAACTGGCACATAGTGAGGGTGGGTAGAGCCAGCACCTCCCTAGTCTCTCACCCACCGAAAGGAGGAGCCCAACCCAGTCCTACTCCTACCCCACCACAGGGGCCAGTCATGTCCAGCTCCTGTGTGGGCCCATGTGCTTCTGTGAGCCTCAGTTTCACTGACTTGTGTTATGTGGAGACTATCATCTACCTACATCAAAGAACCCCTGGGGATATGAAATTATGTACAAAAAACACATGACAACTGACAGGTGCCCATCGAAGGATGACTCAGGTTCATTGCCAACATGGTATCCACCTCTGGGGAGGGCCCCCTAAAATCACCTCAGCCACTCTCGCCCCTCCACTTTCATCTTCTCCCACCACAAAAATTCAGGATGTGGAGGTGTCTGATCCCTCAAGTGCTCCCCCACCAGCCTGACTTCCTCCTCCGTGTCAGAACCAGCCCCTCCTTAGTAGAGGCACACTCCAGCCATACTTGGTCATGCAGCTTGTCCTCAGGACCTGGCTTTGTCTTGTGGTGCTTGGCATCCATACAGACATTGAGGAGATCGGTCCTGTCCTGGGCACTGCACATGGTGGCTACCCAGGCCAGAAGCAGCAGAAGTGGCTTCAATTTCCAGACCATGTCTTTCTGTCCTTGCAGAGGGACCTAGGGTAGGGAGACCAAGTCCTGAGGGGAAAGGGCTCCA